TGTTAACCAATGTCATAAAACAACATGTGTACTTCTGTTTCATGAGAAACTATTTGTTCTGTAAGCCTTCACCTGAAGTACAATAAAAAAAAAACCAAAAAACAAAAGGTTGGTAGTTTGAGTCCACCCAGAGGCACTTTGGAAGAAAGGCCTGGTGATCTTCTTCTGAAAAATCAGTCATGGTAAACCTTATGGAGCAGTTCTACTCTGACGCATGTGTGGTTGCCATGAGTTGGAGTCGATTCAATGGCAATATTTTTTTTTAAGTCTTAAAATAGTAGGATTTGTACTTTTTTGGTGAACTTCACTAAACAGAACTGTGCATTGGTAAATATTCACATTTCTTGGTTTTCTCTGTGACATGCTAACAGTTAATCTTGCTTCCTATCCACCCCCTTTCACTTCTAGTACTTGCTGCACATATGCACACACAAGTGCAATGAGAGAAGTAAATTAGAGGTCCTGAAAGAATATTAAGAGGTCAGTTAACCTATCCCCTTGCAGACTTCTTTTAATAAGGGTGCTTACTAAATATATGCAAGAATATATTTAAAAACATATTATGAGAACGAAGTGACCATCCTAAAATGAGTTTAAACTTGACCATCTTTACAAGTTTTAACTGTAACCTACAGGTTAGTGATGCCAAGTTTATTTTGTCGCTTTTACTTTCCATCTGTGGCCAGTCCTGTGTTTCCAGCCCTTTGGTGAGTATCACTACCTGGCTTGGAGTTTGTCCAGAAGGCATTCAGAGTGACCTAGCTAGACTTTGTTTTGAAACAGAATGTCCTGGGCAGAGTGGGAAGAGGGATGTGAGGGGTGGAGTCTGGGAAGCCACTTAGAAGGTGGTAGCACTAACAGTGCACGGGTGGGGAGGGGTTTAAGCGACTGTCAAAGGTAAAATCAACAGTAGCTGGGGGTGAGAATTGTTGTACAATTCGAAGAAAGTAATCAATGTCACTGAATTGTACATGTAGAAACTGTTGAATTGGTGTGTGTCTTGCCATGTATATTCTCAACAACAACAAAATACAATAAACTATTAAAAAACATGATTGTGATATGAAAGAGCATTAGAAGTTTCTATGAGAATGTCTAACATAGTATTCACTAAACATATATGTAAGTAGCATGAAAGAAAATACTGCATAGCAGAAAGAAAAAAGAACAAAGGAATGAGTGGAGAAATTTGCATTGAATTCTTATAAAGCAGAAAATGAGTCCCTGCATTCAAAATGTGATGGTCTTCCACGAGGCCTGCAGGGTACTGATTTATTTATTCTTTTGTTTTTAACAAAGTAGAAGTCATACAATAACAGGACCTTCAATACTCTGTGATTTTCAATCCCAAATTTTGAATGTACATTAAAAACAATGAATACATCCAGGTGGACGTTTTGCAAAAAAAAACTACAGTATCAGTGACTAACTGGAATTGGGGAAGGAGAGGGTGGGAGGAGCCTAGAATGGTAAGTACTTTGGCCTAGATGACAGAATATACAATGGTGTCACCAACCAAGACAGGGAGGAAGGCTGATCAGATGGCTAAGTAGGCAGGCCCTGCTCTCAGCCCTGAGCTACACAGGAACCCTGGCCCACCACCACCTAGCTGGGTGCCCTTGGCCTAGATATTTTATTCACTCTGTGCCTCAGTTTCCCCACCTGCAAAATCAGAACGATTATAATACTACCTATCTTAGGGGAGGAGCCCTGGTGGAGCAGTGGTTAAGAGCTCGGCTAACCAAAAGGTCGGCAGTTCGAATCTACCAGCCACTCCTTGGAAACCCTATAGGGCAGTTCTACTCTGTCCTATAGGGTTGCTATGAGTCGGAATCAACTCAATGGCAAGGGATTTGGTTTTGGCTTATCTTAGGGGATGTTTGTAATGATAACATAGGATGTGAGGGTAGAGCTTTTCGTACCGTGTCTGGTATATAGTAGATGCCCAATAAACACAAGCTATTGTTATTATTAGAATCCCTGGGTGGTACAAATGGTTAATGCGCTTGGCTGATAATAGAAAGCCTGCATGGCTTTCAAGTTCTTCCATAGGAGAAATCATATTGTTGACGGAAAAAGCACAGGACTGTTTATTAAAAGGCCTGTATTATAATTAATTACTCAGCCTACCTGGATTTTTGTTTTCTCATCCACAAAATGAGAGAGCCAGGCTGCAAATAAATAGAATCAACACCTAAAGATTTGTCCAAAAGTTTACAATGTCTTTTCCATTTTTTAGCCAATTTGATTTTTCACAAATCCCTGTGATGAAGTTAGGTGGGTACTGCTGTTCCTATGTTACAGAAGAGGAAACTGAGGTGCAGAGAGGTTGCTCAAGGTCAGACGTCTGAAGTGATAGTTGGCTCTCAGACCTAGGTTTTCTAACTTTAAATCTAGCATTCCTTCTAACATTACACTGCTTTTTAGTTCCAAGTTTCCTTCCAGGAATAAAAACTTGGGTGCGCTTATCTGTCCCAACATACTTGTCATGGATTGAATTATGTCCCCCAAAAAATGTGTGTAACAATTTGGCTGGGCCATGATTCCCAGTATTGTGCAGTTGGCCTCCATTTTGTGATTGTAGTTTTATGTTAAAGAGAATTAGGTGGGATTGTAACACCCTTACTAAGGTCACATCCCTGATCCAATGTAAAGGGAGTTTCCCTGGGGTGTGGCCTGCACCAGGTTTCATCTCTCAAGGATAAAAGGAAAGGGAAGCAAGCAGAGAGTGAGGGACCTCATACCACCAAGAAAGCAGTGCCGGGAGCAGAGCACGTCCTTTGGACCTGAGGTTCCTGCGCTGAGATGCTCCCAGACCAAGGGAAGACTGATGCAGCATAAGGACCTTCCTCCAGAGCCGACAGAGAGAGAAAGCCTTCTCCTGGAGCTGATGCCCTGACTTTCGTCTTGTAGCCTACTCGATTGTGAGAAAATAAATTTCTCTTTGTTAAAGCCATCCACTTGTGGTATTTCTGTTATAGCAGCACTAGATGACTAAGACAATACTTACCCAATTTAGTTTCACTATTTCTAAATATGAACTCTGGACACAGTAGGGCTAGCACCCTACATATTAATTGCATTGCTGTGTTTTTGTATTGCCTTCCTCTCTTTTCTTACCCTCCTTCAAGGTCTGGTTCAAGTTCTCTCTCTCTTCATGAAGACTTAAATGACTTCCCTGCCATAGCCCCAGGTACGGTTCATTCTCTGAATTCCTCCAGAGCATACAGCTTGTACTTGAAATCATTGCCAATTGTCTTGTATTGTGTTCTTCAAGTTTCATGCCTACTATTCTCCTTTCATCAAATAGATTATAAATTAGAGAAGAAACTTGGCCTCATAGTTCTCTTATATTTCTCTACAGTGCTTAGCACAACTCTCTGAATACCCTTGGGTTGATTGATTTTGTTAGATTTCTTAATTGAGGTTAAAGAGTTTTTTCCCCCCACTTTAGTGAGTAGGTGGTTGGAAGCCAGAGGTAGTTAATCTTGTTTGTGAATCTCTCTCTCCTTCTCCCTCTCTTCCTCTTTTTCTTTCCCTCTTCTAATAACACCTGTATTCTTTACTATGTAACTTAATTACTATCTTTTGGGATTAAGGGGTCTACATTGGCTAAATTTGGTATTACTGTTCTCTAGTCTTTATCTCTGCAGAAAAGACTGTGGCAAAAATGATTTTTTTTTTTTTTTGAAAAAATACAATCTCCTAAGAATGCTAATAATCATAATACTTCACACCTGATTCTCTGAAAGCAAGAAGCACAAATAAATTGTCCTGTTGAGACTTGACTGGAATATATCACCTATAATGAGATTGACAAGATAAGGTTGTTTCTGAAAAGCATTTGGGATAAGTTTCTTAAGTGCCCAGAAGTAGCCATTAAGTCAAATTTTTAGGAGTACTGGAAGGGCAAAGAGGGTAGTAACCTACCCTAGAGGTCAGGGAGTGAAAGTCCAAGTCTAATAGCCAGGCTCTCATCCATAGAGAGATGAGATGGTCACATTTATGATGTAACTACAGGAGAATTAAGAGGAATTCCTTGTCCCAAACTATTTCCTTCATATAGAATTAAGTTCCACACCTGGGAGATTAATTATTTATTACTATTTTAAAAATACAACTTTCTCTCAAAAGGCTAAAGAGCTCTAGGTCCCACTCAGGGTAAATAAATTTGAGACTTTCTCTCAAACAGCCTCATTCAGTCACCTTGATGTACGGTAAACCAAAAACCAAACCTGTTGCCATTGAGTCTATTCTGACTCATAGCGACCCTATAGGACAGAGTAGAACTGCCCCATAGGGTTTCCAAGGAGCAGCTGGTGGATTCAAACTGCCGACCTTTTGGTTAACAGCCAAGCCTGTGCCACCAGGGTTCTCAAACTTGGCTGCCCACTGGAATCATCTGGGGAGATTATTTTTAAAGTACTGACTGATGCCTGGGTCCTACCCTCAGAGATTCTGTTTTGTTATGGATTGTACCCTGGGCATTGAGATTTTAAAGTATCTCCTCAGGTGGTTCTAATATGCAAAATTTGAGACCAAAACCCAAACTAAACCCACCGTTATCAAGTCAATTCCGACTCATAGTGACCCTATAGGACAGAGTAGAATGGCCCCACAGAGTTTCCAAGGCTGTAATCTTTACGGAAGCAGGATGCCATAGCTTTCTCCCACGGAACGGCTGGTGGGGTCAAACCATTGACCTTTCAGTTAGGAGCCAAGCACTTAACCATTGAGCCACCAGGGCTCCTTAAAGTTTGAGAAGGACTAGTTTATAGGAAAGAAAATTGCTTTGGAATGAGATAGGGCTGGTTCTAATCCCAGTAGTGATGTTGACCAGCAGTGTGACTTTGGGCCAGTTTTGTTTGTTATTTAACCTCTCTGGGGCCTTATCAGAGTCCTGGTGGTGCAGTGGTTAAGAGCTCGGCTGCTAACTAAAATGTTGGCTGTTCAAGTCTACCAGCCCCTCCTTGGAAACTCTATGGGGCATTTCTACTCTGTCCAATAGGGTCGCTATGAGTCGGAATTGACTCAGTGGCAGTGGGTTTTGGTTTGTGCACTCTGCTGCTAACTAAAAGATTGGTGGTTCAAACCCACCAGCCTCTCTATGGGAGAAAGATACAGCCTTGGAAACCCTATGGAGCAGTTCTAATCTGTCCTAAAGATTCACTATGAGTTGGAATCGATTTGATAAAAGAGAGTTTGGTTTTTGGTTGGACCCTTATCTCACTAGCTGTAAAAAGAGAACGATAATATTGTCCATTCAAGGTTGTTATGAAAGGTGGTTAGTATGACACATATGAAGTGTTGGGCAGCAATTATGTACTCAAATCTTCCTTTCTTCTTTCCTCTACCTAGGAATGGGGATTTTCATGGGGGGAGATGTGGTAGGTGGGAAGAGAGATTTTGGTATATTCTGCAGGGACAAAAAGTTTGTGTGGGGCATAAATAGCCTGTGAAGTTGAAGGCAGAACACCAGGAGACTCATATGTGTGTGTATGTATGCAAAAATGGAGAGGAACAAATTGCCAAAAGTTGAAAGAGTGGCAAAACAAAGTGGATGAAAATTGTCCAAAGAGAAATTCTGTTCCTACTGTCTCTTGCCAAGGGTTGTCCATATTCTGTGTTGTCCTTTGCACTCTAAATTTAGGGAAAATTAAGACTGCATAGTCTAAGGAGTGTCCAGAGTCCTAAATCCACAAGCACTGAGCTGTCCTTCCTCTTTCCAGGCCCGTGTGGACTCTCTTGGTTTTCCCAGTGTACTGACCCGATCTTCAGAAGTAGGCACTGTGTGCACTGGGATGGGCTGCCAGAGTAGGTTAGGATTCCAGATGCTGATGCCCTCTGGGGGAAACAGGGCTGCAAGGTTTGACATGGCACTCATCAAAGTCCGATCGATGTCTGTGCTTCGAATATAAACCTAGAATATAAAAATTAAAGCAAAAGCCAACTGAGAGGGACTGTGGGTTTTTTTCTTATGAAGCTGATGGGGTATTTGAGAAAGGGCAGGACACCCACACCAAAATACTGGTAGACATTGTGGTAGCATTTTGGTCACAATATTTGTTACAAAAGGTGCAATTTGTTACAAAAGAGGCCAATAGTTGAATTGACAAGATGCTAATTAAGTAGTGGCTACTTGCCAAGTCGAAGTATTTATCACAGGTTTCCATAAAATTTTGAACTTATATTTATAAGTTTTTAGGAACAAAATAATTGTATAAAGAGGAGTACATTTATAAACAAGACTTCTGCTTTGTATAAGTTGTTTGGAAAAACAGGTAAGGGGCTTTTACATATGCAGCATTATGTTAAATTCTTTCAAGGGTCAAAGTTCCATTCTTAGCTCTCCAACTTGCCTGTTCACGTTTATAAGACTCATTCAAGAATTTTTCATATCTTTTCCTCATATATGCTCCAAGTTCATAATGCTGTTGTATTCCTACCTGTGGGGGTGGGGGGTGGGGAGGAAACAACAGTTATTGAAAGTAGGATCTGTGAATCAAATTATCATAGAAATTTGTCTCATCTCTCCTCACTGTATGTGAAGAATGAACAACTTGTATTTTAACAGCCCCACAGTAACAACATCTATTGAAATGAAAACAAGAGTTGTAAACTTTAGCTGGAACTCCCAGAGAAAACCCACTCATCTTCATTAGCACTTAACATCACCTTGCACGTGTCGTTAGTGCTGTTGAGTCTATTCTGACTCATAGCGACCCTATAGGACAGAGTAGAACTGCCCCATAGAGTTCCCAAGGAGCGTGTGGTGGAATCAAACTGCCAACCTTTTGGTTAGCAGGCTGAGCTCTTAACCACTATGTCACCAGGGCTCCCGCTTGCTCATAATAAGTACTTAATAAATAGTTGGTGATTGATCTAAGTAAATGGTTCATCCGCGGTGTGGTAGTGAGATCCTTATTAGTAAAACATTCACAGGGACTGGCTGACCACTTGGTGGGTATTTTGTGGAAGAATTCAACCACTGGTAAGAGGTTGAGTGAATGAATCTTAAGATCCTCTGGGTGCAGTGATTTTATTATCCACAGATTTTACACTTGGTTCATGTCTCAGTCATCTGGTGCTGCTCCAACAGAAATACCACAAGTCGATGGCTTTACAAAGAGAAATTTATTCTCTCACAGTCCAGTAGGCTACAAGTCCAAATTCAGGGCATGAGCTCCAGGGGAACGCTTTCTCTGTTGGCTCTGGAGGAAGGTATGTGTCATCAATCTTCCTTTGGTGTGGGAGCTTCTCTGTGCAGGAACCTCACACACTCTGCTCCTAGCACTGCTTTCTTGGTGGTATGAGGTTCCCATGTGTCTCTGCTCACTTCTCTGTTTTATATCTCAAAAGAGATTGCATTAAGACACTAATCTTGTCAACCTCATCAGTATAACCTCATCACAGTGATAGAATTTATAACACATGAGGAGATCGCGTATAATCTCATCATAGTGGTAGAGTTTACAATACATGAGGAAATCACATCAGATAACACAATCATACAGTACTGGGAATCATGACCTAGCCAAGGTGCTACACACATTTTTTGAGGGACACAATTTAATCCATGACAGTTCATAAAAAATTGGAGCCTGATACTCAAAGTGTGGTCTGTGGGCAAGCAGTATTGGCATTACCTGAGAGCTTGCTAGAAATCAAATTCTTGGGCCCCACCCTTAACCTACTGAACCAGAATCTTTGAGGGGTGGAGCTCAGGAATCTATTTCTAACAAGCTCTCTGAGTGATTCTGATGCACAGTAATCATTGAGAAGTGATGCATTAGCTCAATGCATTACCATGCATCAGAAGCAAAATTATTTGCGAGTGCTTACTTGAAATGCAAATTACTCAGCTCTCCCCTAGAGATTCCAGCTTATTAGATCCTGGGTGGGGCCCTGGAATGTGCATTTTAACAAGTGCCCCAAGAAATTCAGATGCAGGTAGTACAGCACCATGCTTTGGGAAAATTGCATTCAAGTTTGCCTTGAATCTAGAGCCTCGCCAGAGCTCTAGAAGTCAGAGGATGTGGTCACTGTAGCTGCTGCTCAGTCCCACTCACTCATTTGCTTGTCACACTCAGCCACCACTATCATCGCTGCCTATCTAGGATGAAGATGGGGGTGGGAAAGGAATAAAGGGTGTTTTGAGGTTTGTAGGCTTCCTGGATGACCTTAGTAGCTGAAGAAGCAGGTACTTTGGGTCTAACTGCTGTTCTAACTTACAGCTCACTTTTGAGGAAATAGTCCTCTTCTGTATACAAACCAAAAAATAAAACCCACTGCTATCAAGTCCATTCTGACTTATAGCCACCCCACAAGACAGAGTAGAACTGCCCCATAGGGTTTCCTAAACTGTAAGTCTTTATGGGAGCAGACTGCCACATCTTTCTCCCGTGGAGCAGCTGGTGGGTTTGAACCACTGACCTTTTGGTTAGCAGCCGAGTGCTTAAGCACTGCACCACCAGGGCTCCTTCTTCGGTATAGAGCAGTGGTTTTCAAACTTTAGTGTGCACAGAATCACCTGGAGGTTTCATATAAACCCAGACTGCTGGGCTCCTACCTCCTTCTGATTCAGTAGATCTGGTGTGGGGCCCAAGAATTTACATTTCTGACAAGTTCCCATGTGATGATGTGGCTGGTCTGGCTACCACTCTTTGAGAATCACTGATGTAGAGAGGCATTCCTTTGTCATTATGCAGATTGGAAGTACCCGGCCCAGGGCAGTAGTTTTAGCTCTAGACCCTTGTTACACCAAGAGTAGTCCATATACCAGCAGCATCAGCATCGCCAGGGAGTTTGTTAGAAATGGGGAATCTTAGGTCCCACATCATACCTGCTGAATCAGAATCTGCATTTTAATAAGATCCCCAAGTGATTCATTTGCACATGGAAGTTTGAGGAACGCTGCTCTAGAGAAACCTGATGGCTAGTCAAGGATTCCCGGGAGAAGAAGCCAAACCAACAGTCTAGAAGAATCTTTTTATCTTACTGGAAAAGCACAGCAAGGGAACAGGAGTCTCTAAGAGATACAGGTATTAAGAAGCAAAACTGAATTTTTGTAACCCCTTCTCTCATTCAAAGAGCCAGAAGCTAGATAAGCTACAATGGCAAGAGCACTGACTTAGAAGACAGAAGATGCTGGCCTCAAATAACCCTTCTAAGCAGTATGAAAGAGAGGTTCTTTGAGGTTATTTCCTACTCTATGAAACACTGAGTTGAGTTAGGGTAGTAATTCTCAGCCTAAGTTACATATTAGAATCAACTGTAAAGTGAGGAGCTTCAAAAAATTCCAATGCCCAGGATGCACACTAGACCAATGAAATAAGACTCTCCAAGGCAGGCATTGGAATTTTTTTAAAGCACTCCGAGTAATTCCAATGCCTAGCCAAGATTAAAACCCACTTGTTTTGGAGACATCAACTCTAAGTATTCTATGACATTATCTTAATGTATCTAAATGGTGCTTTGGACAGGGCAGAAGCAAAGCACCTGATCTTGTGGCTCCAAATAGAAGAGTTGTCCACTCTTGCAAGTGAGGGTGGGTGGAGAAGAAAATGCTGGAACAGTGGCAGCAGATTCCTTCTTACCCAGTTCACTTCCTCCTTATGTGCTCTGTAGGAGGTGGGAATCCCTGTGTTTATCTGATCACTTATCTGGAAGGCTAATCCTGATATCTAGCTGACAAGAAATCAAATTCTGATACCTGCACTTCCAGAAGAATCACATTTTTCCCAGCCTTGTTGATTCAGCTTATTGATTACAAGACTGTTTTTTACTTGCTCTGAGGAAGCTGGCTTTTAAGTACCTCTTGGCTCTCTTCAGCATCTCTAAACTCATACATTCTTCTTTTGTCCATGCACATCACTTATGCTTTAATAGAGCCAACAGAGTAAAAAATAGTGAAACAAACACCTCTATGCACATTTTCCCCGCAGACTTATCAACAACCTTTAGCTGAAAATCCAACTAACCTTCGTGAGTTGGCCAAATCCTTGTGGCCATTCGGATTCTTTAATGGGGTCATTAGGAAAGGTTTCAATGGGACTTCGGTCTCCATGTCGAAACACCTGAAAATAGATGTGAGGCAGTAACGTGTCAAATTTCTTCTGCTTGTTATAATGGATTTTCTTCTAAACTGGTTCTCAGCCTTGAATGCCCATTGGATTCACCTGGGGACTTTGAAAACTCTCAAGGACTGGGCCCCACCCCAAGAGGTTTTGGTTTAATTAGTCTGGGGTGCAGACAGGGTATCAGGATTTTTAAAACCTCCCCAGGTAAATCTAAGGTTAAGAAACACTGTTCTAATCTCACTAGCACTTTCCCTGTGTTTCAGGTAATAAGAGAGTCAAGATGATTAACCCTTTAGAAGGCAGGTGATATATGTGGAGATCAGATACATCAAATAGAGCAAGGAGGAACACAAAGCTTAGCAAGGTCACTTGATTGCAGCAAACTCTGATGAGACGTATACCTCCCTTAATTATAGCTACAGTAATAATGGCTTTAATTTTTTTTTTTACATATAATAAAACAGTCGCTTTTAACTGCAAGTATTTTGTCTTAAAGAAAACCCACTGCCATTGAGTGGATTCTGACTCACAGTGACCCTGTAGGACAGGGGAGAACTGCCTCATAGCATTTCCAAGGCTGTAAATCTTTACAGAAGCAGACTATCATATCTTTCTCCCTCAGAGTGGCTGATGGGTTCGAACACAGACCTTATGGTTAACAACCGAGCACTTTAACCACTGTGCCATCCGGGCTCCTTGTCTTAAAGGAAAACAAAAAAACAAAAAAACATTGCTGTTCAGTTGATTCTGACTCATAGCAACCATAGGACAGAGTAGAACTGCCCTGTAGGGTTTCCAAGGAGCAGCTGGTGGATTTGAACTGCTGACCTATTGGTTAGCAGCCAAACTCTTAACCCCTGCGCCACCAGTGCTTCATCTTAAAGAAAGACACCTACAATTTGGTAAACATTTTGAGCCAATGATTCGTTAGTTTTTAAGGAGATAGAGGTGTAGGAATTGTGGGTGGGGAGATTGGAAAAGCTAACTTCCAATACTTTAAGAACATGCACATTTTACTTTTTGGGGAGAGTAGTGTGAACTTTTGAAACCTTGGTACTTAGATTCTAATATGCTGAGCTGAATGCCAAGCCAAACACATAGCTATTTTATAAGCAAAAGATAAGGAAAGAGAGAAAAACACGCAAGTGCAAGATGAAGTCTACACTGATGTCAGCAAACTTTTTAAAATGGAGGAGGGCTACACAGTCTTGCTTTATCTGAGATTTCCCACCCCTGTTCACCTATGCTTCCTGGCTAAGATGCTCATTTGGAAAAGAAAGCCAAGAGGCTGCTTTTTTCAAATCCTGTAAAACAATTCAGTAGACACTGAATAAGGAACAAACTTTAGTCATGCTTGAGGTGAGATTCTAGGAACGTGGGGGAGGTGTCTAAGTCCTGGGTTGTGTCTCTGGTGTCTGAAGAAAACTGATCTTTTGGTCCCCTAAACTGATGAGGAGCGCTAGTGGCGTAGTGGTTAAGACTCAGCTGCTAACCAAAAGGTCGGCAGTTCAAATCCACCAGCTGCTCTTTGGAAACCCCTATGGGGCAGTTCTCCTCTGTCCTGTAGGGTCATTATGAGTCGGAACCAACTTGACGGTGCCTAACAACAACAACAAACTGATGAGGAACTAAAACCTCAGTAGACAGGCTGCAGAAAGCAGAGGCACAAGGATCTTACAAAATCACTTTGGTCAGGTAAGGAATTGCTGCCATGAATGGTCCCGTCATGGTTTCAGGCAATTACAAACCCTATTTTGTTTCATTGCCAGGGTTTCTCAACCACAACACTACTGACACTTTGGTCAGATAATTCTTCATTGTGGAGGGCTGTCCTGTGCATCATAGGATGTTCAGCAGCATTCCTGGCCTCTACCTACTAGATGCCAGTGGCATTCCCCCAGTTGTAAAACCAAAAATGTCTTCAGACATTGCCAAATGTCTAATGAGGGACAAAATCACCCCCCAGTTGAGAGTCGCTGAGTTAGGCAAAAAGAAATCAGAAGAGAGACATTCTAATAAAATAAATTACAATGCTTTCTACCAGCCTACAACCACAATAGCTCCTCAACATTTTTGAACACTTGCTTTGTTCCAGAAATTGTGCCAAGTGTTTTTCATGCATTGAACTCTCTCACCAATTCTACAAGGCAGTTACTATTATTATCTCCATTTCACAAACTAGGGAGTTGACCTTAGTTAAGTGACCTGCCCAAGGTCACACAGCTTGTAACTGGTAGAGCCGGGATTCAAACACAGGTTGTGTGTCTCCAAAGCCAACATTCTTAACCACAGGTAGTTAAGTTCACTTCTCTACGCTTAAACACACCCCTCAGACTCCTACTACCTAAATCTGGACAATCTGCGACCTGGAACTTCCTTTTAAACTCTATTCCATGTATTCTTTTTCTCTAAGATTTAAAGGGTTTTTTTGTTTGTTTCTTTATTTTGCATCAGAAGAAACCAAACCATGATCAGTACTGAAGTCACTCCTGAAGTTCACCCTTCAGCCAAAGATTAGACAGGTCCATAAAACAAAATGAGACTGGATAGGCATACCAGCCCAGGGGCAAGGATGAGAAGGAAAGAGGGGACAGGAAAGCTGGTAATAGGGAACCCAAGGTCAAGAAGGGGAGAGTGTTGACATGTCGTGGGGTTGGCAACCAATGTCACAGAACAATGTGGGTACTAATCGTTTAATGAAAAGCTAGTTTGTTCTGTAAACCTTCATCTAAAGTACAATTAAAAAAAAAAGAAAAAGAAACCAAACTTGAGGTAAGAAAGAAGACCACGAACTATGTGCAGTATTTACAAAATAAAATGGAGTTTATACAACTGAATGACAGAATCGCCTGGGGAGAGAAAATAAGCATGGTCAGCTTACAGGAGCAAGCACTGGAACATAATCATGAGACTCGGGGCCAGCTTGCTCACTCTGTCCTTACAGGTCAGAAATAATTGTAATCCCCTTTGTTTCAGTAGGTTATAAGTGTTTCTGAAGTAATGGCTCAAATGTGCTGTGAGTGCCACAGAAACATAAACCATCTCTCACCCTGGTGCTGGAAATCAAAGTGTGCCTGTGTGTGTGCCCGCGTACACACATAAAGGGAAATCCCAGCACAAACATTCTCAAACTGGAGCCCTTGGACTATACCTAGGCATTCTTTTATGTCTGTGGTAGGACAATGTCCTTAACTGTTGCTCTGTCAAATTTGTGATGTCTGACCTCAGCCCAGCAATCATACTTTATGAAATCCTTTTAAACAAAACAAAAAAAGCCAATTGTCGTCGAGTCTATTCTGACTCATGGCAACCCCATGTGTGTCACAGTAGAATTGTGCTCCATAAGGGTTTTCAATGGCTGATTGCCAGGCCCTTCTTCCAAGGCACCTCTGGGTGTACTAGAACCTCCGCTCTTTTGGTTAGCAGCCAAGCCCTTAACCATTTGCTTCACCCAAACCAAAAACCAAACCCACTGACTTCGAGTCAATTCTGACCCATGGCAACCCCATAGGGTTTCCAAGGCTGTAAATCTCTACGGAAGCAGACTGCCACATCTTTCTCCCACAGAATCGCTGGTGGTTTTAAACCACTGACCTTTTGGTTACCAGTCAATCACTTTAACCACTGTGCCACCGGGGCTCCTTTGCTCCACCCAGGACTTTATAATATCCTTTAGAAACCTAAAAAATGTAGTATTAGTGGTAGTACTATTTGCAGTACTAGTGGAATTGCGTTAGGGACACATTCAAGATAAATACAACCCCTTACATTTGCTCAACCCTCCATAGTTTGTAGAATTTTTCCCTTGCTATCTTGTTTATTCTTACAACCTCTACTGTGAAGACAGGTTGGCACTATTGCACTGAACAATTAAGGAAATGGAAGCTCAAAGAGATTGAGTGAGCCAAACAGATTTCCTAATTCTCATGACTGCTAGCCCACGGTTCTTTCCATCATATCACACACACTTTACCCTTTTAAAATCACAGATAACTTTTTTAACCCTTTTGTGCCTGGTTGTACATAAAGCGACCGTGAGATTTTTAAGCCTCAGGGGTTTATTGGGAAGCTGCTGTACCACTGACAGTGTGTGTTGCTGTAAGGCAGGGACCCTTATGACTGTTTGAAACCAAAGAAATGGGCATATGATGCAAATTACTGTTTTTACAGGGTATTGTGTGAGGTGTCTGAATTTTTGGTAGGAAAAAATAGAAATTTTGAAAACTTTTATTTGTTACACATATGTACCAATAGATGCCAGTGAAGACTCTGGGGTATAATTAGTGGTACTTCATATGTACCACTAAATACTCAGGGTAGGCTTGTGGAAGGGGGAAGAAAAACAAAATAATACTACCTACCAAAAATTCAGACACACTGAATGATTCAGCACGCTCACATTAATGAAAACACATTATATCAACAAAAAAATTAAAGCAGAAAATAATTGGATCACCAAAGGGTTAAGGGACCATGATTTGGTATCTCCATAAATGACCTTGTTCCATCAAGTCTGTTAAACAGTTTTGGCATGTTGTGTAGGATGCAAGAACCTGGTGAACAAAGTCAAGAAGAACATGTTCAGTCTCTCTCCATGAAGTAGCCAGAGTACTCACTTAAAAAGTGTCAATCAGATCACATCACTTGCCTGCTTAGAACCCTCTGATGTTCTCTCATTGCATTAAAAAGTTTTTATGGGAAATGTTAAACATATGCACAAGTGTATGATAAGACCCTACAAGCCCATCACTGGCTCCAAAAATTATGAACTTGTGGCCAATCTTGTTTCTTCTACATCCTTACCACTCTCCAGACATTATATCATTTCTCATTGCTCTTTGCATAAAATTCAAAGTTCTTACAATTGTCCACAAGACCCTACCTGATCTGGCCTCTCCCCACCTTGATACCCTTACCTTACCTTATCCTTCGTCTTGTTAACTGCTCTGGCCACACTGGCGCTCCTGCTGTTCCAATGCCTTAGATTTGCCCCAGAG